AGCCCGGTGAGGAGGTGCCGGTCGGGAGGCCAGTTGGGGGCCGAGAGCGGCCGAGCGCTGGAAAGCGGGGATCTCTGGCCGAAGAGTGGAAAAATAGATCTGCAGCCAGAGTTGGAAGACCCAGAGGGGCCCGTTCTGGTGCGGGTCGATTTTGTTCATGGTCGTCTCGGCCAAGCAACGGAAAAGGTTGGCAAGAATAGCCGGGCTGAACGCCAAAGAGTGACCACTAGCCAGGGCCTGGGCCACCGGCATATTCTCGACCAAGCACTTGTTCGACCTGGTACAACAAATAAATTTGTTGTACCAGTAGAAGAGGAAGGCTTCATGTTCCCCCTTCCTGAGATTCTCTTCCCCCCGGACGGCGAAATGGAGGATGAGGGTGTTGTAATTGAAGAAGTTTTTGTGAAGCTTGTGAACTTCTTCTCTCGAAGGCTCCCGACCGCCTCTGCTGAGCGTTTCGACGGCCCGCTCGTCGAAAAGCGCCTTCAGGTCAAGAGAGGAGGGACATCCTGAAAGAGCGGCATCAATTGGGAGGCCGGATGGAGAAGTCCCAAGGATAGCCGAGACGTCGAGCACTGTGGGGCCTAGGGGGCCAAATGGAAGGATCATAGTGTTGGTAGCCGAGCACCACAGGGTCAAGGCCGCCATGAGCAGCTCTTTGTCCATGGTAATCTCCACGGTCGAGAGCATGATGGCATCATAGATACCAAGAGTTTTCCACTCCTCGCCGAAGAATGATCTCATTCGGTCCACCCAGGCGGCCCAAGCTGTGGTGGTCGAGGGCCAGGCTCCTTGAGGCCGAGCCAAGGACCATTTCGACCAGTCCAACCCTTGAAGCAGGGGTGTAAGGCACTGCTCCTTGAGAAGGTCGGTGATGCACGACGGCACTGCATCTTTGAAAATTGGGCCCAGGATCTGATGAGAAGCGGCCATGTCATCCTCGAAGCGTACCGTTTTGATTGTGTTCCGGTCGATAAAGTCCTTGCATTTGTTGATCTCCTCGGAAAGCTTCGAAATGAAGGAGGCCATTTGTGGAAAAAAAGGTGTGTTGGAAGGAAATATTGCAGGAAGAAGAACTGGGGAAAATATTGCAGAAGGACTAGGAGTTTTGGTTTGAACAAGCAAGGGAGTTTGGAATATCTGAAGACGTAAGAAGCGAATAGATTGAAATGTGGGTATTTATAGGCTTTTCAGATGGAAAATCAAACGCTTGAATTTTGAAAGACACTGGAATTTGAAAAGCGTGGTTCCAAATTGGTGGGAAAGTTAACCGGGAAAGTCTGCAATTATTTCGGATATTTCGGGAACATGCGAAAATGGAATCGAGGAGTCGAAAATCCAGGACGCATGATTGCGTGCGGCGACAAGTTCAATGTATTTAATGAGGATAAGACGGTTCAAATAGTGCACGGTTTCGAGGCCCATGATTGAAGCTTTTGAACGACGGAGAATCGACACGTGGCCACGCGTTGAGGACAGCAAGGAAGGTGCAATCATGTCTCATAAATATGCAGGAATAATGGTCATTAATGAAGTAAGGTCCAGAAGAGCAATAAATGTTTTCGCTTCTTCAAGGCCGAGAGCCGACCAAGAGTGACAGTCGGCGACCTCAGAAGCGAGGGGGCAATGTTTGGGCCCAAAATATTAGGATTGGGCCGAGCAGCAGGATGTGCTCCGCCCAAGGTAATAACACATGCTATGGGCCAAATAATGAGACTCGGACCAGCTGGCAGGGTCGGCTAGATCCTATCTTAAGTAGTCCAGATAAACGAGGAAAGGTCGAGGAAATCCTGATGCAACCAGGATTCTCGACCGGCAAGGGGTAAAACCTCAAAAGTAGGAGAATTCAGAATCCCAATAGGACTGGGATTGTTTGAATTAAAGGTGAGATGGGACAAGGACTCCCAATCCAAATCAGAATGGGAATCAAGGAGCGAGGTGCTATAAATACAAGAAATTACGCAATAGAAAGACTTTTCAACATCAGCATACAATTGCCTTGCGCAAATTCTCTCAAACACCTTGAGATTTTCTTTTTCTTTTCCCGCCGACACACCTTCAGTTTGGATAAACAGCACTGTGGAAGCAACCGGTAAGCACCTTCAGTTTGGATAAACAGCACTGCTGCCGCAGAATCAGCCGACCAAGACACACCTTCAGTTTGGACAAACAGCACTGCGTCGAGGTCGACCGATTACCTATCTAAGTCTCGGCCGAGGAAGGTTTTCGAACCTTTGTTGGTAGAGGTCATCTTACTAAGCCGTTTCGGCATAGTTGGGTGTTACGGATTGCCTTGCTCGGCGCGTTGGAGGCCGAGTGAGTTTATGATTGGATACTCACGAGTAAGTTTCAGGGTTCGGCATTCCGACGGCCGAACTACGTTCACCATCAAGACATACATCACATTCGAGTACCTGTGCCCGTATAGTTTGGTCTCAATTCGGCGTGCTTATACTCTTACGAATATAATCACAGTGGCCGAATCAGGCTTCGACGAGTTGTGAACTCCGTAGAGTTAGTAGCCTTGTCTTCAGGCTATAGAATCCAGAGACCGAGAGCGTTCCTTCCTCGGTCGCAATCGCAAGACACAGAAGTCAACAGCGCGCTCAACGCGACCGCATCAAATTTTACTCCTCGGCCGAGCTCGGCCGACGAGTTGGCACGCCCTGCATTCAACCGAAGGACATTAGTTAGCTCATTAGTTATTCGGCCTGCGTTCCACGTAGGTTTTGTAATTTTTGTAGTCAACAGAATCATATGGTATTATGTATGGAAACTTTTTTCGCTGCTAAAGAATCAAAAGTAGACTTGTCAATTTCTTACATATATAAATTGTTAACCTGATTCGCAACGATATGGAAATAACGAAATTCGAGACAACCCGTTAACTAATTCGATCATTATTGAATCACACGTTAAGAACCCATTATTAACGGACGTTTAACAATTTACCAGTGGAACCAAACATTAACTCATTAATCTATGTCAACAAATTTATTTTACTATGGTTATGTTTTTTTTACTTTTAAGGGAAAGAGGAAAGGGAAGAAAAGTCTACATGTTTTTATCAAGGGTTATTTAATATATAATTTCGTAGTCCACTTTATGAATAAACAAAGTGTATTAATTTCTAACAACCTGAGGTCTTCTTCTAAATGTGTCAACTTTTTTGCCCAAATGAGAATTGTTACATCCCACATCGCTTAGGGGAGTGGATCCTGTAAGCCTTATGTGAATATTCTCATCTCTACCAAGCATGAGGCCTTTTGAAAGCTCACTGGCTTCGGGTTCCATTGGAATTTCGAAGTTAAGCGAGTTCGCGCGAGAGTAATCTCAGGATGGACCCATTCTAAAATGGATGTTTTAATAGTAGAAATGCATACATGAAAAACATGATTTAATGGTTATGTTTTACGAAATGTTTCATGAGTAAATTAGATTTACACTTTATGATTATCATGTTTTACTGAGAATATTTTGGAATACCAAATTAATTGCAAGATATTATTTGACATAATATCTTGCAATTATATTCAAAATACCACCATAAGTGGCCTGTCCCTATTTCTCCAAATAGGGCCAACGACACCCCTATATATAGCCCCATCTTCACACCAAAATGAGAATTACAACTTTACAAGCGAGAGAGATACGAATTTTGGGGGAAGTAAGAGACGAGTATGGGAGCTCCGGATGATGATAACCATGATTGTGACTTTCTTTTGTTGGAGTCTTTTACGCTGCTATTAGACCCTCTTGCTAGAATAAAAAAAAAAAACATGCAGGAGTTTTTAGGGCCACAGTCAACATCATGCCTATATCCATCATGAAGGCATTACGCCATTCTAATGACGAACTCATACCGTCACGAATAACCATAAATAGCTTCGTCGGCAACAAGTCCCAAACCAAAGGGGTGCTCCCGTTAGAGGTAGGCGTTGCAGGTCGCAACAGACTAGTGGGTGGCATGTCTTGCACCTTTTTTATTCGAAATAGCTCCAATTTGTTTATTTGTTTATTAACATAGTAGCAAAACACATAATGATCGATTTAAAAAGGACTGAATTGGAAGGTGACCCACTGGGAAGTTCTCGTGTGAATTCCCAGAAACAAAACCGTGAGGGCATGGTCGGGGCCCAAAGCAGACACTGTGCTACAGTGAAGTCGAGCTCGGAATGTGGTGGGAACCCGGGCTGGGATGTAACAAGAATCACATGGTTTTATGTGTGGAAACTCTTTTCACAGCTAAAGGGCCAAAAAATACAAAAATATAATCTTATCATATTTCTCATACCATATTTTTAACACATGAGTCACATACATATAAACAATCAGTAAAATTAGTTCTAGCTAGTACCACTCATAAATTTGTTCAAAATAAATAATGTATAGCTTCAATCAATATTTGCAATTTTTCTTCAATAGTTAGGACTATTCAGTAGTAAGGAAAATAAACGGTCATGATTTAGTTGAGAAAATACTAATTTTTCTTACTTGCCAATCTAATAAATATAAAGTCAGATTATCCAGTAGTTCGGACTATGAAAATTTACCCCAACATTTGATTATAAACCTCACTTAAGTACCCTAAATACTTGTAACTTCAGAGTTAATTATTAATTACTCATATCATAATAATATGGATTTATATAACAAAAACAGATTCAATAAACCCAACTTATTAACTTTGGCGTCCACTTTGAAACCAAGAAACCCTAGCTAGCTTAAACATTTCCCAAAAGGTTCATTATCTCCTAAGCACTTCCAAAAAGGTAACTGCAAGTAATCTCCCATCACTAATTGTATAGAAGGCGGCTTAAGTTAATTAGCTCATGGAAGCAAGACCCACACGCAAAAGAAGACCAAAACAGATAAAACGCAAATAAATAAATAAATAAACAAATAAAAAATACAAGGACAATTTGGTCATTTGAACACAATAATATCATTCACTCTGCTATGTTCGTATGAGTTTCAATAATTCCTATATATGTATCACACAGCTATTCCAAACCTTCCATAGCATTCAAGCTTTCATCAACCCAAAAACCCAACACAAAAGAAAACCTAAAAACAAATCAAAATCCACAGAGAGCGCTCAAAAACCAGAGATGGGCAACAGTCTAAGGTGCTGTTTGGCTTGCGTACTACCATGTGGAGCCCTAGACTTGATCCGGATCGTCCATTTGAATGGCTACGTAGAAGAAATCTCACATCCAGTTACAGCCGGCGAGATCTTAGAAGCAAACCCTAATCACCTTCTCAGCAAACCCAGCTGCCAAGGGGTCGTGCGCAAAATTTTGATCCTCTCGTCGGAATCGGAGCTCAAGCGAGGCAGCATCTATTTCTTGATTCCGTCTTCTTCTGTGCCGGAGAAGAAGAAGAAGAGTAAGAGCAGCGGCAATAAGAAACCCTCAAAAAAGAGCAGCACGAGCCAAAGCGATAGTACCGGCCGTTATTGGACGGAGATTGTGACGGAAAAGAAGTCTATGTCTCGCCAAGATAGGAGGGCTGGCCGTGTCACGGTATGGCGACCTCATCTCGAAAGCATCACCGAAGGCTAACATTTTTTTCCGGTGATGGGGGTTTTTTTTTTTTTTTTTTTTTTTGGTACGTAAATGGGTTTGGTATTGCGTCTTGTGGATATATTTGGAATTTTATTTTGGGTCTGCGAGTAATAATGGCAGATTCTGATTTAAAAATTCAGTGTTCATGAGGTCATGATCTGTTTTATTCTCAAGAAATCAAAGGAAAAATTAAAATCATGGCTACGTATAACAGAGAAGAGAGAAAAATAAAATGTTCGTAGAAATACAATTGTATTTACACCAAGTTTGTAATTAAGTAAATATGTGCTGCTTCTTCTTTTATTCTCTCTTTGTGATCTCATGATTTGTGTGGAGAAGAAAATAACTGGGCAGCCTAGTGCTCGGAGGGGGAAAGATTCCATCAGTTGAAGTGGGGTGTTTAATTTCAGTAATTTTGAGATTTGAAATAATAAATTAAAGAGTATTTTTCGAAAATATAAGAGATAAGATAGTTGATTTTCATGTAGTCCATATAATTCCATATACTTTTTTTAGAAGTCAGCATAAGATGGAACTGCTTCCCATGATTAATTTGTCCAAATGAGCAATTTACTTGCTCAATAACATTTTGACAAAATTTAGAGACAAAATTTACAAATTAAATAAAATATCACTAATAGGAATGAACACATTCATCAATACTTAAGTAATAAATCAATTCAATCATCAACTTCCATGTCTTTTAGTTTTTAGAATTTTGTTTACAAATTTAATTTTCTTAGCATTACCCTTTTATAAAAGTTCATTATCAAATTTAAAATCAGATCTAGTGTATTTTCTTTTGAAGGTAATAATAATTTATTACAAAACCATCGAGAATGTATAAAGGATATGCATGTTGAACTTAACAAAGAGGTCACACAGTAAAAAGGTACCATATAAATTTACAATTACGAACTTATCATCAATGCATACAATTCCAAACTCATAGAGATCCACATCTAACCAACAAAAAATATAACAGCTTTGCGAGTCCTGGATTACTATTATAACATCACGAGAAAAAGACCACCAACTCTGATGATATAGCCATGACACCATGCGATACCAAAATCCTTTGTAAATTGGCGTATAGCACTGCCATAAGTCATTATATATTATTGTAATGGCCTTATATATATATGTATGTGTGTGTGTGTGTGTGTGTGTGATGACTTGAGCACAGAATAGTTGGCATACTAGTCCATCTACGCGGTATCGTAGTGCATCTATATATACAATATATATATATATATATGTGTGTGTGTGTGTGTGTAATAATTGCCTAATCTTGCTGAATTTGGTAAAAGGAATCTTAACACGAAAAAAAAGGGTCGATAAAGAAATATAGAAAGATGTTTTAATCCTTATCTAATGAGGTTAAGACGTGCATTGTGAGAGCGTTTAATTAGCCAACAAATGGAGGGAGTATCGGGTAACAACCTTTTGTAATACATATGAAAAGCAATAGATTATACATTTCTTCAAGTTTAATGATTGTGAGTTCTACGTTTATTCTTAAGCCTAGCTAATGTATTGGCTTAAAAAAACCCTTAAATTAATGAACCACAATTTTTTTTTTTTTTTGGTCAATGAAACTTTTTATAACAAAGTCCAAAAAGATATAGTACAAAGACTCCACAACGAAGATGAGGAAATAACAACCGCCCCATAAACGGGGTTGGTACAAACAAGACACTTTATGCAATCAAATGCATGAGAAAATGTTCCCATCTATACCGGAAACAAAAATTACATAGAATGTGTCTCAACCCAAAAACTAAGACCCACACAGCCTAAAAGTGACCACACAAAAGAACCTAAAAACCCTAAAGGGAGATTCACCCGCCACCTCCCCAGCTGCATAATTGGTGGAGACAGCCATCAATCATATCCAAGTAAAACATCTAACACGCCCTGATCTCGAAATCCCCAAATACTAGGATAGACACTTAAAACATGCATACAACTAAAATATGCATTTAGAATGAGATACACCAATGCATAATCGTGTTTAGAGCATTCAACTAATCAAGAATAATGTGAATGAATGAATATAAAAAGGTATGAACAAAGGAAGGGTACCTACCCTAAAAAGACTCGGAGATCCCTACGCGGAATTGCCCTGACGCTAGGACTGTGTGCCTCAATTCTATCTCTTGAGGGGGCGCAAAAATAGAAAAGGTGAGTGGACCAAAGTTTATATGAATACTAATAATAGGAAAATCATTTTATATAGGAATATACTAACCCCTGTTTTGAAAACATATATATAGTACTATATAGTAAGTTTTTTGAAAATTCTAGCATGCAATGAAAACTTTCGTAAAACATGTATACTGTAAAACCATGCTGAATAATGGTGTTATCGCTGCATTAAGGCAAATCCAAAAATCTCATCATGTTGTACTCTCTAGGGGTATCATAGTCGCTCGAAGGCAATACCTGTCCATCACCCGAAGGTGACGTTGTACGATATTGGGTTATGCCAATGAAGAAACCATGGTCCATCCCCCAAGGTGAAACTGTACAACTCTTGGTTACGCTAAAGAAGAGGATATATAACATCACACATCGAAACTAGCCCGGGCTAGTGAAGCTGGGGGTATATCATCAATATCATCTACTCCTCATTTGCCCTAAAGCAGTACCTGTCCATCACCCAAAGGTGAAGCTGTACAATATTGGGTTATGCCAGTGAAGAAACCATGATCCATCACTCGAAGGTGAAGCTGTACAACTCCGAGTTAGTCAGAGAAGAGGTATATACATAAACATCCTCAACTGTGTCCTATGGCCATAGACATCTACATACCCGTGTTGTGTAGATGTGTTGTATAATAACCCGGTAGATAAGCACCAAAAACATCCTAAAAAATCTCATATCAAATTCGGAGCTCAAAAGCTCAAAACCTCATCTCATCAATCTCTGATAGCACATATTCATAAATTCATAAAATACATCATATTCGAAAGCCATAGAATTTCATATACAAGAATCCAAATATTCATAACCTTTTGTAAAACTTAAATTTGAGAAATCATAAATATTTCGTAAAAGCAATTTAAATAAATCATAAGTATGGAAATCCGTAAAACATATTATAAACCATGCTCTATTCATGAAATATGCAATGCATGCAAGCCTAATATTTTATAAAAACATGTAAGTTTAGAAGGGGTCCACTCACGGTATTCCATTGCCCGTAAGCTGCTCGAACTAGCGAGGATGATGCCACTTCCCACTGCCACACCTAAACACATATAGGGACCATGTAGTAAAACTCTATTAAAATAGTCGAATTTCAGAAAACAGACAGTGGATTCGGCACATCGAAAAACCTAAAGAGATACCTCTGGTTTTCTTACGCACTGCCGCACGCGTGTCTACAAGGCGATGGCCAGGACGGCCAGGCACTGCCACTCCCTGAGATAGGTTACCGGAAAGTTCACCAGAAAGGTCGTCGGCACAGTACTTTCGACGGAGACGAGTGTGCTTCATGCGTTGGCCCATACGCGAACATGGAAGCTGTCTTGGGTCCGGGTCAAGTTGGATCCCGATTGGCTTGCTGGATTGGGCCGAGGTTACTGGGTTGGATTAGGTTGATGGGTTGGCCTGATATTGGTTTGGGCTTGGGTTACATAGACCCAAGGTTTGGGTTGTATGGCCCAAAGGTTTGGGCCAGGTTAATGGACTAGATTACGGGTCAGGTCGACTCGATTAGGTTCTCATGTGGCACCCGCCGGATTTAAAGAAGAAGAAGGATGGATTTCAGCAGGGAAATTCCCCGAGCTCTAAATGAGCTCAAATCTTAACTATTTCCTACGATTTAAAAGCCAAAATAAAGGTAGGGAGATAAGGAATGAGATTATACCTTCGTGGTCCCTCGTAGTGGTTGGAGTTGGCTTGAAAAAGGCTCGAAAACCGCTGGGTTTTTCGTCGAAATTTGGAAATTAATCTCCCGAGTTGTTTTCGATACCAACCTTCACCAAGTGCCTAAAATGGGTCAACTAGGGTTTGATCAATTTATAATGAAGGTTAGAGAGAGAGAGAGAAAAAGAGTCTCGAGGCTTACCCATGTCAGAAACGGCGAAACTCGTTGGAAAAATCCTTGCACAGTAACGATGCAACAATGCAGTGAGAAAGAAAGATGAGGATAGGCCTTAGACGGTCTGGGGTCGTGAGAGGGAGGTCTCGAAGGTGGCATGGTCGCCAGAATATGAGCCATGGTGATGGTGAGTGGTGGTGTGCTCATAGGGGAAGGTTGCAAAGATAGGGGAGAGAGAAATAGAGGTAGCTAGGAAGAGAGATGAGAGTTAAGAAGTAAGAAAGAGTATGTCACGGGAGAGAAAAGAGAGGTATAGAGTTCTAGAGTGAGAGAAAGATGTCACGGAACCAAGGAACACCCTAGAAACTAGGGTCACCTACCATGTGTTAACCCGAGAGTGGTCCAGGGTGGAGAATATCTCGACTTGGAAAATTACCAAAATACCCTTATCATTTTGAGTCTCGTAAAATCTTCGTTTTAGCTCCAAATTTGATTCCGCTCATGCCCACACGTTTGTAGCAATGAGTGCTACAAGGATACACCAAGAAAAGGGATCTTACGTGACACGACAACGCGGTCAACCAAAGTCAACGTTTTTGCCTCAAAGGTCATTTTCGTAAATTCACACATTAAAATTATAAAAACCGTAATAATTGAGGACGGTTCGTTACAACATCCGTAGAAAGCAAAACTCAAGCCTATATTTGTTTCAACGCAGGTGAAAATGAGCCAAATCTGTAGATAAAGAAAAACCATGCACATTCCAGTCTCCACATATCGAGTCCTCAATTGAAAATAAAACACAATAGGCATCCAAATGCCCAGATCCAAGCGGAAACGAAAAAGTTCAAGTGGGTGTAAACACCAAGTCAAAGAGACTTCATACTTTTGTAAAGATGATAACATATAGTTGTCTTCAAGCAAAGAGAAGCATGGATAAAACAACGGACTCTTGAATTTATTGGTTTAGAAGAAAAAAAAAAAGTTTAAACTAAAGCCCTTCTCTTTAAGGCTTGTCACTCCGAAAAAATCATTTGAAATACATACACGAGAGAGATGGGAGCCTTGATGTATGATGAAGGTCCATTAGCTCCAACTTCATATATTATTATTGGCATATTGTCTAATTAGCATAAATCCAAAAGTTTTGAATGCCTATTTCTTGAAGCTACATAAATATAAATCCAAAACAACCTGGCAAATCTTCTTTGCTAGACTTTTATAACTCAGTCCTCACATGGATTCCCTCTTCCCATATCCCATATAATATTATACTGTTCTTACACATCCTTTCCTCAAACTCCATCCCCATGATATACATATATATATATATATTATTAATGTTTTGGACCACAAACTTGTAGATCAAATATTTCAGTTTAGCCAGTTGAATTTTAAATATTTTGGGGGAAATTAATCATGGGGAAGCATTTGAGTTGTGGGTTGGGACCAATGAGGCAATGCCACGCTTTTAATCAAACACATTAGGGATGTGATTATTAACTAATTAATTGAGGGAGAGAAATGGGGAGATCCCAAGGAACATAGGCATTGAGCCTTTCGATTAATTGTAGCATTGATGAAGACAAAAAGGATATAAGTTCACGGGTCTAGTCGCCAGTTCCAGGAGGAGAACTTGGATGAATCCCTCTGGATGGGAGACATCGATGTAAAAAACTGTAATGGCCTTCTCTATGTATGTGGGGGGTGAGTTTCAATATCAATAGTCAATGGAAAGTCAATTTTACTTTGTCCCAAACCTTGACCATATGTCTGTCTAATTACGAAGATCAAGTACTAGCTATAACATTGGTTTAGTGGTATTTTTCTTATTAATGTTGAAATAGTTTTTAAGTTCGAATTTCTTACATAAACCATAATTTTTTTTAACTAAATAAAACCTTCAACGTGAGATGAGCAATTTTGAGTGACCTAAACTTTTCTTAAGCTTTAGTCTAGGATAATCAATATTGTAATATTTGTAGGAGTTTTTTTATTAGCTCAAGTAGTTCCTTCGCACATATAACTAAAACTTCGATGTTAAGGACTAGCTAATTGATCTGGAGGTACTCGGTCTCTAATTTGCTAGAATTGGAGGTCCTCAATCTTTGTTGTGCAGCTATGCTGAGTTGTTTTGAACTTATTTTGTTGTGGAACATAACTCATTTTTACACGGTTTTGGGGAATCTAGGACATCCTATCTGTCCTGTCCCCATGAGTTGTTAAGGACTCGACATCAAAAAGTTCACGGGCCAATGGTATCAAGTCAAGCCAAGCCAGTGGGTTAATTTGACCATCTCCAACTAAAGGAAGGTCAAATGCTCTCTTTAGCCCTATAGCCTTTCAAGAAATTATATTTTAATGAACATTGTGAGGCCATATTTCATACCATCTCCAACCGAAGGGGCCAAAGGGCCATAGGCCAAACATAACCCTGTGACAAAAAAATCATCTCCAACCGAAAGGGCCAAAGGGCCATAGGCCAAACATAACCCTGTGACAAAAAAATTATCTCCAACCGAAGGGGCCAAAGGGCTATAGGCCAAACATAATTTATTATTTTAATTGAATTAATATACTTAATTAAATTAAACTACCATATTAATGTAAGATTTTCGGACATAGGAAGATTATTAAAAGAGGTGGCCATTTGAAAATTATTGAAAAAAATTAAAGGAAAGATTACTGGAAGAGAATAGAATGTGAATAATTGAAATAAAATGAGGTAAGATAGTATGTAATGGTGAAAAATACGTGAGAAATGGTGTATGAAAAAATTTAGAATTAAAAAAAAAAATGGGCTAGGCAAAAAAAATCGTCCAAAAAAAAAAAAAGTAGGCTGGGCAAAAAAAATTGTCCAAAAAAAAAAGTGGACTGACTCATCGGGCTAGCTGTCTGGCTGGAAATGGCCAGCTTGTTGGCTTGATTTGGTGTTTTTGGCTCTGTGGGGCCCACAAGACCTTTGGTTTAGCCCTCGATTGAAGATGATTTTTCGTGTCATTTCGGGCTATTTTTAACCCTATAACTCTCTGACCGGATCGGTTGGAAATGGCCTTATATGACATATATTGCTTGGCCCTTTTTTCTTGTATATTAGCCCATAATGTTATTATTTTGTCATGAATGATATATATTGGAATTGGAGTTTCCCATATCACCTTTTTCTCTTCTTCTCTTTGTGGGTAGCAATATCCCATCTGTTTGCTTGTTTGGTGGTGTCTACATGAATTAGTGGGGTCCTGGTTCTTAACTCGTGCTTCCATTGCACTACATATAATTTGACAATTATCTTTCAATTGGCCTTTTGCTCGATCCTGTCTTGTGGTATAAAGTTTCTATAGTCCATCTTTGCACCATTTTATTCTTGGGAACAAAATTGTTTACGGCCGAAAGGTGTAAGATCACAATTTTAAAAATTATATATATATATATATATATATATATTTTTTTTTTTATCTCCAAAGTTTTGTCTCAACTTTGTGGTTGTGGTTTCTTAGAATGCTTATGGAATATTTGATTATTTATGAAGACAACAAATACACCAATTGCCAAATTGTGTGTATAAGTTGTGCAAAGCATGCATGTCCTTGGATCATCGCGAAATGAATGATAGAAGAATTATATATTTCAAATTCGAGAATATGAATTGAGATTCATCAGCAACTCATAATTTACTAGAGAATAGAGAAAACTCAAAACTCTAAAATTTCAATTATTATATGAATAAAGTTAATTGACAATTACATAAGTTGACTTAAATAGAAAATAAATATGAAATTATTAAAAAAATAACACCAACCCAAGGTTACGTTAACTTGAACAACCCCACAGGTCCAAAACATCAATTATTGGAACATATGACAGTACGCTAGTAGAAAAATAACCTATTAAGCTGTGAATTAACAATTCTCCAATAACTTCTTCTTCTTCTTTTTTTTTTCCATAAAATTCTCCTCCTAAGGTTGAGGTTTCATAACAAATAAAAGAAATAAAAAAAATCTAATTTTCCCACTTGTAAAGAAATCGAATCTTAAAAAAAAGACATGAATGTTGATGAATACATAAATTCTTCAATTGAAAGAGTCAATATTCTTGATATGCAATTGGAATCATAAAGGAACTAATACTATAAAAAGATTAGAACATGCAACTTGATAATTTTAGATTGTTTAGAACTGATTCTTTAAAAAGCACTTCTCTCAGAAGCACTTTCAATTAAAGCTACTGAAAGTGCTTCTATTGGAATTGCACATTGAATTTTTTGATAAAAATGCAATTATTTCTTAAAAGGCATGTGAAATGCTTCCTGAAAAGACGCACACAACATGTGCTTCCTCTAAATAGCAATTTAAGTGCTTTTTTGAATTCAAAAACATTTTTAACTTTTTCACTAAACATAGTCTAAAGCACTTTTAGTTGCTTAAAAACACTTCCAAACAAGGCCTTAACTTCTTATTAGTTGCTTCTTCTTGCCCTCCAAGTTTACGAGATTGATTTTATGGTCATTAATTCCTCCCTGCTTATTTGAGGGTTTCCCAAATTGGCTTTGATGATCATCTCAGCCACGATATTTTTCTAGCTTTTTTTTTTGGTCAAATATATTAGTCTACCTATTTCAGTACTTTAAAGTATGTTGTCATTTCAGTTTCTACAACCCTAACGGATTGTCTCTAGCTAGCTCATATAACAACCCTATAGCATGAGCAGAATTCTTGTACAAAGCTATCCTAATTAAGCAAAAGTGAGAAATTTGTAAACAAAAAATTTTCCCTCTTCCTTCTCTGGTGTGTTTGTTTTGCTAATAAGGAAGTGGGTGCACTCTATCATCACGAGGAATATCCACGACAGAAAATGATGGGATTCCATAGGACTTAAAGCTGTTGTCGTCTACCATCTGTTGATCATTTCCAACCATTTGTTGCTGCACCACCAACACCGAGACCTCACAATTGGAATCTGAAGATGCCAACATATCTCCAATGAACCCAAGTTCCGGAAACTCATTCCATTCTGTGAGTCCCATGAACAATGGTGAATCACTATCGTGGCGTCTCCCCACCAAAATTAGGTCATAAAAATTTTCTATGGTCCTAATCACATTGATCATGTCCACGCTATCTTTAACACGTTCCTCCTTGTAAACATGTTGCTTTTTCCCTGCAATTTCTATCTTACACTTGCTGAGTAGCTCCAAATCATGTTCTTTATGCACACTGCATTTCCTATTGTCAGCCAATCTAACGACTGTGAGGCTGACATTAGGATGCTCCGCCATGCGCATTGCATATGCCAATGCCTCACGGTCATCAGGTCCTTCTACAAAGATAATCCCAATATTGTACAAAATTTTGCATGATAGAGATGTGTTGGTGTTCAAGGTACCACGATCGAGGAGAATCCCAACTGAGCATGGGGAATTTCGAAGAATGTTTTGATTCACGGACCTAATAGGTTCGGATAATTCCTCTGTGCAACTTAGTGAATTGAATTGCTTGTGGAATGGGATTAGGACCATGGAAGTCCTTTTTTCCAATGCCAATGTGCAAACATCATCATGCATTGTGGCGTAGGGTGCAATGGCTGTCAATGCATTCATTATAAGGCCACCAGAGCTATGTTCTTCATATAATCTGAAGGCATTGACTATCCGATCTGAGTTACCGGAATGAAATGTACTAGCACTCCTTTTTTCGAGTCGATGTGTTGTGAGGATTGGGGCGGTTCTGCCGGATAGTCTCACGAGGTGGACAACATAAAAGCATATGGGGGTTTTGGGGGTTGGGTTGGAGACTTCAAGAAGGCTGATGATGGAAGGGGTGCTCTCTTCGTGGTATATGCACGCAAGAATTCGAAGCTCGGCATTGCGAAAGGCATGCTCAATTGTCCTCCTTTTGGTGGACATATATCTCTTGGATGGATTGTACAGATATTTCACTATGGGGGTGATTATTGCAGTTAAGACGAGTGCTGACAGAGCCATAACGCTATAGGCTTCTTCGTCAATCAGCTGGAATAGATAAGCACAAATGAAAAAAAATTAGAGGAGTAATATAATTATATACAAAGAACTAGATCATAAGAAAAATTCACTTAATCAAAAGTTTACACCAATATTGGTTACCAAATTGTTGCAAATGAGAGAATGAGAGTATGAAAGTATCGTATCTGTTAGAAACAAACAAGGTTGAGAGTGTAGGTGCTTATCTATGAATTATAAATGAAACATTGTGACACATAAAATCTGTTTCGATATTTTGCATTGCCCTAATTAAAAAGATTAATTTTTGGTTTTTCTATTTATATATATAAAGTATCATGCAATAGGAATAGGGGAAAAGCATAGGGCATAAATTATAGTTAAAAAGAACTGAGTGGAGATAATTACGAAGAGTAACAATGCATGGTTCAAATTTATAACGTCAATGATGCCTTGAGCACTCATGATAAGCCCTAGTGAGAGTGAATCGATAAGAGACATTTTGAAATAGAGAGAAGGCACCACAGTTCCTACAAGTTTACCACAAAAGCTACTCATAACCAATAGCTCCACAATCCAAACTGTCTTCATCTTTATCATGGAGAAATTAATCCTTGCACCAGTGAGCACAAAGTAGCTCGGCAACAGAATCGATGAGACGTAGGAGTCAAGTTTCTCAACCAAAGCTGATCCCAATGGTGGCCCATCTGGCACTGCCAACCCTAAAATCATGGGCCCCATTATAAAGTGCTGGCCCACAACCTCACCAAGAAAAGAACACACCATTACCATGATAAATACTGAAAAAATGTAGCTATCTTTCATGGATCTTCCTTTATCTGTAATTTGTGCAACTATCCATAACATTATAGGCCTCAAAATGTAGACTATGAGGATGAACATGCAAAACAAGCTCAACCCCATAAAGGGTAGACTAAGATCCTTTTTTGAAATGTTGCTTTGCCTTATTGTGAAGGCCAAACTGACCCAAATCAAAGATAGCACCCCACTGACTGTTGATGAAGACACAGCCAATCTCCCAATCTCCGAGTTGAGGAGATTCAAATCGGCCAAGAGGCAGGCGATGACGTGGAACGAGCTTAGGCATTGAAACACTGCGATGATTATGATCGACTTTCGTAGGTTTGTTTCCATCGCGACTGTCTTTCGTAGGATAAAAGCGAAGCCGATGTTGAGGATCAAGGGGACGAAGAAAGACGAGAGGCCTATGACCACGGCTTTCCTTCCTGATTGTTTCACCAAACTTATGTCCATTTTAACTCCAACTAGGAAGAGAAACAGCATGACACCAAATAACGCATAGGTTTGGCTGATGTAAAAGCTTTTCAGTGGGAAAATTGTATCTGCAAAGGCATTGCCTGATCCTAAGACTGATGGTCCCAGTATAATACCTGCCTGATGCATAACATACAAATTAGGTTGACAGAAAAGAGTGCTTGGTAATGGATACTATAATTTACAGTACCCGATGCATTGTCAATTGTATTGACATGTATATATATTATACAGACAATATACAATGTACCAAGCACTATAAATTGGTACAATTTTAAGCTAACAAAATAAATACAGAGAAAAAGGGAACGCAGTTATTCACACTCCCAATTTGTCATCCTGCACTATATTCTGAGTAATTTAATCAAAATAGTGTTTTTGAGGTGGGAATAGCGGCTTCCAGGAAATGGAAAAAAGAAAGCGTCGATAGAAACGTACGAGCATTTGTGGTATGAAAGCAGTCTGGCCAAGAGGGTTGAGAATGAATTGGAGGAAAGCGGAGAGTAAGGCAGATATGGAAAGCTGTACGTAAAGGAGGGGAGTAGCGAAGTTTAAAGGGCTATCACCGAAAAAGTAGCCTTTTGGTCTTGATAATTTCCGAACCTCGCATACCCAGGTCTGATTACTCAATGCATTTGCCTTACCCATTGCGATCGAATCGTCCAGAATAGCTCAGGCTTGCAACCTCACCCAAAATGTTATCGAGAGAGAGAGAGAGAGAGAGAGAGAGATGCACGTAGGGTTTGCATACATACATGGATGAGAGACACAGAGTAAAAGCTTGGATGAAGCAAAGAATGGAGGTGATGGATAGGAGGATGATGCGGGCTGGTCAAACCTTTGAGCTGGGTCTTTATTGAGCGTTGGCCTTTATTTGAAGGTCATATTTCATATTAACTGTTCACCACAGGTTTGGTTCAACCGTACACACCATTGGGCTTTAGAGGTTGAAAACGTTTCAATATTAGGTGCGACACCAACTGCATATGATTGGTTTTTGTGAAACTTCAATAAAACTTCAGTTACTTAAATATAATTATAATACCTATATATTGTGATTAACTGCATATTTACTAAATTAAATTTTACTGTGCGTACATTATGTATTCAACTCCTACCCATATATATAATATATTTGTTGAATTACAATATATATATATATATATATATATATAAAATTGTTATTAGCATTCCAAATATCTCATTTGGCACTCCAAACTTTTTATAATTAGAAAGAAAAATACACTTGTGAAGAGTGTATAATGAGATATTTGGAGTGTTAATAACAATTCCTTATATATAATTGTAATGTTGTTTACACAAAACTTGCTTTATGGTCTCCACGTGATGACCAAATGAAAGAAATTAGGAAGTTTTAACGAAAAACCCACGGTACTATTCATTTTTTCGAAAAACTATATTTTTACACTAAAAATTCAATCATGGTACTATTCACTTTACCATTTATTTTGTCCTTATCATTAAAACTCAAAGTTTTCAAGCCATTTTCATTAGTTTTCTTAAGAAATTAAGGGCATGCTTGCAATTTAAAAAGGATAAATGAGTAAGGACCACTTGGAGAGCACACCAGTACTTTAACTGGAGGTGGCATTGTAAGATCCCACATTGTTCGGGGGAGAGGAGATGATGTACCTTATATGTACATGCACACCTCCTTATAGTAAGACGCGTTTTGGGTGGAAACTCAAGAACAAATCCGTGAGGGTGTGGCCCAAAGCAGACAATATCTTACTGTGTACACTATGATGTGACAATTTGGTATCAGAGCCACTCCTCGGCCGGAAGTGTGCCCGACGCACCTAAGGGGGGTGGATTGTAAGATCCCACATCGCTCGGGGGAGAGGGGGTGATGTGCCTTATATGTACATGCCCACCTCCCCATAGTAAGGTGCGTTTTGGAATCCATGAGGGCGTGGCCCAAAGCAGACAATATCTTACTATGTGGATTGGGATGTGACAATTTGGTATCAGAGCCATTCCTAGGCCGGAAGTGTGCTAACAAGGACGTTGGCCCCTAAGGGGGGTGGATTGTAAGATCCCACATCGTCCTGAGGAGAGGAGGTGATGTGCCTTATATGTACATGCCCACCTCACTATAGTAAGATGCGTTTTGGATGGAAACCCAAGAACAAATCCGTGAAAGCGTGGCCCAAAGCGGACAATATCTTACTATGTGGACTAAGATGTGACAGGCATAACGGTTTTCATTTGAGTGACACCTCCGCCATCTATTTGATTCTTGAACACTTCAAAGCTCGTGCTTTGTATGATGAAGATAAACCCAAGCCTTATCTATTAGCTAGTTGTACCTGCCTTATTTGTTCTTCTCTATCAAGTCGCCATCTCCTCCTATCAAGTTGCTGACTTTCTCTTTATATATATTTATCTAGTTCCTAATTACCAAGTTTTGTACAATTATAAACAGGGACCTCATCAAGAGCTGCAAACTCCAGTAAGAAACGAGAACAGAGAGAGAGAGAGAGGGCAGGAATGAGAAAAGGAAGAAGGGGGTCATCGGATAAGATGGGTTTGCATCATGAAACAAACATGATCTCTTATTTAGTAACTTATGACGTGCAAAGTTAGGGTTAGGAAAGATGTGGTGGATATAGTTGTGTTTGAGTTTTCCCCCTTCAAAAAATGATGAGGGCAGGCTATGCGCTGCTTATATATGATGCTGATGTTGAGTCTCTTTCCAGCTGCTTTACAGGATGCTATGTGGGCTACTTTGTTATGTGAGATGAAAGGAATCATTAGTTCATCTACTAGTTGTACAAGGTTAATCTAAAGTAACCATTGTTCTGCGTATATGTATATCTATATAAGTAATGACAGTTTAAGTATAAAAGCTGCTGGTATCAGTTTAAGTATGTTGTTGATATACCCTTAATAAAATGTTTTGGCAAATTCTATTCAATCTATTTTTCGAAACTAATTTGTGTCTATTTATATGTATGTATATATACTTGAACAAAACCAAGCTATATTTCAGGTTACCAAACAGATATTTTATACTTCATACACACACACACACACACATACATACATACTAGTATTTGCCTACACACAAGAAGAGAGGGAGAGAGAGAGAATGTGAGGTGAGTGGGAGGTTTTTGTTTTCGGTTTTTTTTTTAATTAATATTGGAGATATTTTAGCATCACCTGTAGGTGAGGCTTTAATAAAAAACAGTAAAATTTGGACATGGAAAATTACATTATTGCCCATCATTTTTTTTTGTGTGATAGAAGACTAATTTATCTTTTCACTCTCTTTTAGTTGACAAAGAGAGTTTTATTAATTAGTAGAGATATATATTAAGTAAAGCTTCTGATGTGAACACTAAACCTATAAAAAAAAAAGAATAAATTGAATAAAAAAAACTTCAAATAATGAAACTTCATTAAAGTGCTGATAATGCATTTCTTTTAATACAAACATATATTTTATACTTTCATTTAAATTAGGGAACTTTCATGAAAAGGGTTTGGGCTAAATTTATTTTAATAAAAACCATGCTATAACTTTATTTAATTAAAAAGACTTCAATTTTAATGAAAAACCCTTAAATTTTAATAAAAATGACAAAAGAACTTAAATTTTTTATGAAAAATACATAATTTTAATATTAATTTTTAAAAATAAAAATAAATCTAACACGCGGACCCATGCATCCTCACACAAACTGTTATGAAACTTAACGGTACTACATTATTTATGAAACTTACTACACTGTTTATGAAACTTACGACACTATTTATAAAACTTACTACACTGTTTATGAAATATACTACACTGTACTGTTTATAAAACTTAACGATACTATACTGTTTATGAAATTTAATGGTGCTAAACTGTTTATGAAATTAAACGGTGCTAAACTGTTTAGGAAACTTAATGGTACTACACTATTTATGAAACTTAATTGTACTACATTCTTCTCTCTCCTCTTCTTGAATTTTCTTGGCACATTCTCACATTCCGAACACATTTTATTCTTTTAATTTTCTTCGATACTCATTAAATTTTCTCTGTATCACGTCAATTTCTTAACTTTCTAAACCAATTACTTAGTTTTCTTCTATTGTCCGCCCATCTGTAACCACCAAACGTAAATGTTGTGCCTTACAAACACAACACTTTTAATAATATAAAAAGTTGGGCACAATGGGGTGAGGTACAAGGAGTGCCTCAAGAACCATGCAGCAGCCATAGGGGGGGACTGCTATGGATGGCTATGGCGAATTCATGCCTAATGGAGAAGAGGGCACCATCGAAGCCTTCAAGGGCCTCAACTTCTCTGCCTGCAACTGCCACATAAACTTCCACAGAAAAGAAGTTGAAGGTGAGCAACAGCAGCATCTTTCCTCTTAGGATCATAATTTTCATCATACCATCAACAAGGCGGTTAGAGTTCGGAGTAGGAAATTCTTATTAAATCATGGAGGAAGAGGAAGACATCATAAGAGTTTACTAGCACTACCCCAATACCCCCACCAACACCAGATGATAATGTCTAACTACAACATGGGGATGCGAATGATAGGGTCCATCCCTTCAAATCAGTCTGATGAGCATGAAGATCATCATCGTCGTTGTCACAGTGGCGGATCACGTATTGACATATGTGTACAGAAATCACAGGCTTTGTTGATCTTCAACTTCATTTGCTTGAATCAATAGGACTTTGAGGTCTGTTTGGATGTTTGGAAATTGGAGATTGTAACAGAGTTGAATTCTAAGAGATTTGAAGAGAGATGGACCTTTGATTGGAAAAATACTACCGACTGACAGTTTGAAAAAATTCTTCCTCATATTGTTCTTCTCAGTAAATGGTGGATTACGTATTGACAAAGGTGCAGGGCTTGCATGCCCTTTTGTTAGGTATTTTTTTATATCTTTTTTCTTTCTTTTGTTCTTATCATTAAATAAAGTTAGTGGGTGATTTTTTTTTTTTTTTTTTTTTTTGTTAAAACTCAAAAGTTTTAAAGCTCTTTTAATTAGTTTTCCTTTCAAACTAAGGGTAGAAATTTCAATTTGAGTGCATAGGAAGAGTACATTGATCTAGTCAATTTGGCTAAATCTAGACTTCCAATTATGAATAATGCATTTGGACAAATATAAGTGCATAACTTTGTACATAACTCTTCCTCTAGGCCAACAAGGGGAAGGCGTTATGTCATCATCCTTTGTTGCTGCATCACCAGAATTGAAGCTCTACAATTGATGTCTGGTGATGCAAGCAAGTCCCCTAGAGTCCCTAGCTCTGGAAATTCACTCCATTCCGAAAGCCCTGCCGTCTGCTGGGACTGCACCATATGCCTTCTCCCAACTATAATTAGGTCAAACTCATCCACCATAGACCGAAGCACTAAAGCCGTCTGAGGCCCATCTTTCACAATCTCCTCCAAGTATATCACAAAACCCTCACCTACATCGTTATATCTAAAGCCCTTCATTTCCTCGGTATCAAGTACACTATCCCAATCCGTGCAAGCTACAGAGTTTGCGGCAACAAGTCGGATCACCGTTAGGCTTATTGTGGAGTCGTTTGCCATTCTTTTGGCAAATGACAATGCTTCCCTATCGTCTTTCCCTCCCAAGAAGATTATAGCCACGGAGAAGGATGACTCGGGTGCAACAATGGAGGTGGACTGTCCTAAATGGCCGCGGTCTACAAGGATTCCAACCGAACATGGGGCTCTTTCTAAGACACTGCAATTCAGGTTTCTTACGCTGTTGTCTTCTGATTCCACTGACCCGTCCATTGACCATCTTCGGTGAAATGGGAGCACAATTAATGAACAAAGTTTGTCCAATGCTAGGGTGCATATGTCTTCATGCATGTATTTTGGTGGAGAGATTGCTGTGAAGATGCTTAAAGATACACCACCAAGATTTTCTCTAAGAAAGTGATTGAAGTAAAGAATGACATTGTCCGAGTATGAAGTATTGGAAGTAGATTTTTTCTGCATTTGGTGGGAGATAAAAATAGGAGAGGCTCTGCCCACTAATTCAATGAGATGAAGAACATAAACAGCAATCGGGTTGTCTCTAGATGGACATGCTGCATCAAGTAGATTGATGAGTGCAGGCATGTTAGCTGACCTATGAATGCAAGCAAGTATTCTGAGCTCAGAATTGGGTTTCAAATGCATCATATTCCTTCTCTGGTAGCCGGCGTATTTTCTTGAAGGATCATACAAGAAATTCACCAGGATGGGCATAAGAGTTGCAGTCACGATGACGCTGGTCATCGCCAAAGCAAATGCTGATTCGCTGATGTCCTGCACAAGAAGAAAAAGATTAGAGACAATTGGTCACAAATAAAATATAGAGAGAGAGAGAGAAAAAAAAGCATCGGAGTCGCATATATTTTCTTACCGCATTAGTTCATCACATGAAATGATGAATAAGTTCATTTCATTTGGCACTCATCACATCAATTATCGTGTCTAGTTATTAAGAGATACAACAATTAAATGTCACAATATCATGTGGTTAGCTAATGTGATTAGAAAATATGTCCCTCTAGCATTACTTTTAACTTATAGACAAAAGGGTTCTGGGTACGGAAAGAGACGGACTACGTACCTGACTGTCTCTGAAGTCGGTATAGGAGGCAAGGTTGACAATGCCTTTGCAGGACAAAATGAAAGCAATTGATAAGGCATCAACGAAGGGCATTTTGCAGTACAAGGGAACAGTCAGACTGGCAATGAATTTGGTCACGAGAGCGACGAGCATGAGGATTCCATTGATTTGTGCAAATTGGTCAGTTAAGAAATGTTCAAGGGACCAAAAATTTGTCCTCATAGCACTTGTAGTCACAAAGATGGGAAGCATCACATCAGAAACGAACAAGTTGAGCTTTTCTTCAATAGCTGATCCCAATGGTGGTCCGGCTGGAACAGCCAAACCAAATATAAAAGGGCCGAAATAAAAACCCTGACCATAAAGATGCGAAAACAGGCCGGATAGGAGCACAAGGATGATGGTCATATTGACATAGCCTTTCTTGACAGGCCTATTTTCCGGGGTCTGCCTGATCATCCACAACATTATTGGTCGAATTATGATAATAACAATGGTAACATAGCCAACGGCTATTGCTATGGCTGTTATCATGTCCCTTGGTTCAATAGACACTTTTCCAATTCTAGCAACTTGCCCCATAAATTGAAGGAACACACTGATCATGTCACCGACTAATGCAGCAGACATGCCTAATCGACCAATCTCCGAATTCAGAATTTTCAGCTCCTCAAGAAGGCAAGCCACAACCGGAAATGGAGTAATTGAATGTAACTGAGTTACGAATGGAAGTTCGAACTGTTCGTGACGGGTTAGGCTGAAGATTTTAGCGTCGAGTGTGGCTTGGACAGCCATACTGACTAGCAAAGGCGCCACGACGCATGCAACACCAGTGCACAAGCCTTTTTTTCCTGTCCTTTTTATCATTCCCAAATCCATTTTCACTCCAACTAGAAACATAAAGAGCCCATAACCCAACTCAGCCAGAAGACCAAGTGATTCTTGGCTGTTTACATTAAACAAGAAGTTCTTGAAGAAATTGTAGTGCCCAAGGAGTGTGGGGCTGAGGATTATGCCGGTCTATATCACAAGAAATCATTTTAGAGGATCAGTAACAATTCAAGTAATCTTCGAAGCACTAAATCTTCCCATATATTAGATCACAAAAAATAATTAAAACACAGGAATATTCTCTTGCCACACCATATGGCTTGGATTGTGAATCTGAATTAATAATATCTTAAATTTGTTTGATTGTGTGATCAAGATTCACAGTCTGTCAACAAAATTATCTGTAGATGTGGAATGCCAAATGATCATTGGCTTAATACATGATACATGCCAGAAGAGTAAAGCCATATGTATGTGCATTGCTATCCATTCTCACATATACGTGGAATGCCGACTTTTATGATAGATTAATCAACAATACGTTCAGTAAATGTGATATAAATGGTTGTATCAAAATAACAGAGGGGGAAAGAAGCACTTACTATAATTTGGCAGCTGAACCTTGGAACTCCAAAATAGCGAAAAACGTAATAGAAGGCTTGGGTGATGATAAAAATTAAAATCATCTGTATCTCCAGATTTGGAAGGGTATACATCTGATGATCCCTATCTGTGTAGTTTCCCGAGTACAGGCCTGGCGAATGAACGTTAGGAGGGAACTCAGTACACTCAGTAACTCTCGTTTCCGAACTGGTTAGGTTGGTCGCCGTATGAGTCGCCATGGTTTCGTGCCCTGAAGCCTCCCTTGTGTTCTCTCTTTTTTTATCAGAAGGGCAAAGGAAGGAATGTAAGTTTGGCCTTCACTTCTGCAAAGTTCAAGATAGATAATATTGTTATATAATACTAGGGATATGTAACAGTAATGAAGCCAATATTAACCTTCCAGCATAGACTCTGAATGTCTAGAAGCCAAAGTTGTTTAAATTCCAAGCGATTGAATGGACAGATGAATAGAAGATCGAATTCCAAGGCAACCAAAGTCAGTTATATGCAGGCTTGGTATAGGGTTTATTCGCAAGTTGGTTAATAATAATAAAAACGTCCATTAGTGGTGAATATGGTGTGGTTAAGTAGTTGATAATTTGTGTGTTTTGTTTTTATTTTATTTTTATATTTATATTTTGTGGGGCTTTGATAAGATTGAATCTGTGACGTCGGATTCTTCATCAAGGTTGCTAATATGTTAGTTTGACTGGCATTGACTTTTCTGTAGAAAGTGGGTTATACAGAATGAATGAGTTGGCTAAGAAAGATCATCCTCTCAGAACATAAGCATATTTCGAAACACGCTGTTGTTGTGAAAGTTAGACTTGTGATCAGAGAGAAGATGAATGCCTTTATAAGTATTCCCAGCTTTCAAAAAAGGTTGATAACCATGGCTTGCCACCAGTTGTCCTCTTTTTTTTTTTTATTGAAAAAAAAAATAGAAAAGAAGCATATTTCTAGAATTATAGAAGAGATACTTCGTAAAACCATATAAAACCTTATTTCGTGTGAGAGTTGAGAAAAGATTGACTATGCAAATAACATCTTTGACTTTGTTATGTTCATGAAAATTGAAACTGGGTGACATGTTAATTTGTTTTTCAGTTTCTTAATTTTAAAATTAATAAAATTTTGGTGGAAATAATATGATATATTTGAAAATTACCAACGAAACTTAAAAGATAACATCACAAAAACATGATACTTCAAGAACAACCTAGTTTTTCAAATTGAAAACTTAAATCCGAAATGAAGAACTGAATTAATAAATGTGCTTTTATCATAATTTAGATATGTCGTTTTCATTGTGTTCATGAACTAATCCATGCATGGGATTGTTTCTCACATCAGCACTAATATTAAAGATTAATTCGACATAGGACATAGCAATAAATATATATATATATATATATATATATATATTGGCTCTAGAACATAAAGATTTTCTGTTTCTAAGTGAACCGCATTTGATTCTAAGGGGATTAAGTACAAATCGAAAGTGAAATTCATCTGAAACCCTAATGGAAAATCTGCAGTGGCTAAAATTTCTCCGATACCTTCAAGCTCGCACTCCATCCATATTCTGCATTAGTCGTAATGTAAGTGGTGATTCTTGATCATCGTACCAACCCAGCATCACAAAATCAGAACTATCCTCCATCCAGCGGTTGATCTGCGTCCTTTCAGACCCATCTGTCACGATCTCCTCTCGGTAGTAGTTCTCCCTGCTCATTGCTGCATTGGACCCATACTCGTGCATCAATTCGTTTTTGAGAGAACTCTTCCGCTTTTCTTTCTGGATTTTTTCGTGCTTGAATCGAACCAATGTGAAGCTAATGTGCATGACGCTCAGGCATGCTCCTTCCATTTGGCAAGCGCTTCCAAATTAATAATCCACTTTGCCAAAGAAGAGTATGTAGAGCAATTCCAGTAAATTACTTGCTTGTCAAGACAGAGTTGTTACCGCCTAATTGGTGGCGCTGATCCAAGTATTGGACACTGACAAGGAACAATTGCAATGCTGCAAGAGAACTCTCTTGGTGGTGCTACTTGTATCTAGTATTGAACAGGGCTGTTGAAGCCTTGCAGTCAGTGCTGAATTACGGAAGTGCTCCGAACTTTACCATGTAATTTACTTTATTTTCAGGTGGGGATGGGGAACAAGAGAAGCTACTGCATGTCTAGTGAGATCGGTTAAATGTAGAACAAATATCAAAATGGCGCTGAGCTTTGCGGAGTTAGAGTCTTCAAGGAGATTTATGATGGTTGGGACATGTTCTCCGTGGTGGATGCAGACCATAATTCCGAGGCTGTTGTTGCTACAGTGGAGAGTGGTCCTCAGGTTGGCTGCATACCCCCTTGATTGATCGGAAAGGTACCTTACCGTATGTCTTGCAATTCCAGTTATAATCAGCATTGTAATTAGTGGTAGAAGGGAAGAAGAAATTTCATTTATGGTCTCTGTAAGATTGAATAAGAAAAAGTCCACAAACACTGCCAATGGGACGAAACGAATATACATAAACTTCAGGTAGTATTATAGAAAGCAAGACAAGGCCCTACAATAAAGCGTCAAATGAAGCTTGTTGCCCAAGAAACTGGCTGCAGAATGCACACCGACGGACATTAGCAAGAATGACAATGAAATTAAACTCCTCCAACTGTTGCCCTTCTGGTATTTTTCTGATTAACCATAGTTTGAACGGCTTCAAAATAAAAACAACAGTGATGAAAAAGGAAACAATCCAAAACATAGATGACAACAAGATCAAAGTGATGTGTGCATGTACCTAGTGTTGTCAAAGTCGCAGGTAAAAGCACGCAGCTCAAATCACTGAACATCGACGTGTAGATGGCCAAGCGTCCCCATTTTGAATGGAGAATGTTTGAATCAGCAAGGAGACAACAATTGGAGAGGAAGAAAGGGAATTCAATGTCACAACGGCTAGAAGCCAAATTCTTAATGTATGGTCCAAAGGCGTTAGGCAACGCATGGTAAAGTAGATCAAGCCTCCATTAAAAAAGCGGCGCGGGGGGGGGGGGGGGGGGGGGGGGGGGGGGGGGGGGGGGGGGGGGGCGCCAAAGGGCGATAGGCTAAACATAATTTATTATTTTAAAAAACTACAACAACTTAAAATTAAAGTCTATAATCATCATCATCTGCCATTGTAGGATTATAGTTGGATGTAAACAACTCACATCGGGCCATAATTTCCCTCTTTTTCCTATCAAAATAGACCTTACTCATTAGAGTGTAATCCGAAGTATTCCTTTGCATGTTCCTATCATCCATCTCTTCTTGAATTTGTTTTGCCCGTTCTTTGTGCCTATTATTCCTTTCTTCCACGGCAAAGGCATTTGTTCCGCCATTAATCGTAATGAGGTCGCCATTTCCTGTTGAAAGGCGTAATCATCCTTTGCCTTCCTCTTTTCCTTCAATTTTCAGTCCTTGCTTCATCCCATAGCCCTAGGTATGGAACCTTCACCCGAAGACAGATTTTCTGCCCTTGTTTCTTGAATGGTAGGAGATTCATGTTCATCCCCAACAACCGGCGTAGGAGCAACTCTTTCTTGAGGTGGATTTTCAAATAACACCCAACCTTTACAAATTTCCCAACAACCGTGATGATTAAAGGGTTTCGAATTGTCCTCCATATATAATTCCTCCGCCAGGCGTACCTAGAAAATATAATTACAAAAATTAAAGAAAATTAATTTATGAAATTAAATGTAATATAATTGAATATTTAAAATAACTTGTGAAAACATTTGCTTCGTCGTAGTAATTAGCTCTGCTTTCATGTCTGCTTTCGGCCTTTAACACTGCTTGATGCCATTTATTCAAACTTGGATGAAGATGTTTTTTCCATCCTGAAGAACGATTCTCATGGTTTTGGGAATTCAGTGGAGTGGTGCCTTCGTAGAACTCATAGTACTTTTTGGACGTACGATTCCAAACACCTTCACTTGTTTGAGAACTTCCTGTCACACTATCTTCGAAGACCTATCTATAAGCTCTGCAAAGAGCTTCATCTTCTTTTCGGGTCCAAACCCTACCTTTCAATGCAAATCTGGCCATTTGAAAATTACTGAAAAAATTGAGGCAAAGATTGTTGGAAGAGGTAAGAAATGATGTAGGAGAGAAATGATGTAAGATAGTATGGAATGATGAAAATAATACGAGAAATGGTGTGGGAAAGGCTTACGTATTTATAGGAAAAAAATAGGAATGTTTTAATATTTTATTTAAAAAAAATTTGTCTAGAAAAAAAAAATTCCAAATCCAACGGTCGATCACCTGACGTCAGCTAGTTGTTGGATTCAAAAATTGGGCCGGCCCGGGGCTAGCTGGCTGGATCAATTAGAGATAGCCTTACGAAGAGACAGGAAGTCGGGGTGGGTGTGGGGTTAAATTATAGAGGGAAAGGTGGTGATTCGGAGAGTAAAAGATAGTACGGTTGAGATGGCCACTGCCGACCCCAAGACGGGAGCAAGGGGTCCGCGACAACAATGCCAGATTCAGGGTTTGGGTGGCTATTGGGCACTGAGAGGATAAGGGTAGCAAGCATGTAGATATTTACTACAATAGGATGAATATCTTTTCCTCATGAGTAACTTTCAACTTGGACAAAATATGGAAGTTCTCATCCATGTCTTTCTTCAAAATGCCTATAGTTCGAGTGAAACTTCGCCTTGGTTTGTAATTCTTTAATTTGATCAATTTATACTCTAATACTTACACCATTATAGAACATCATTTAACCTCAAATCACATGAATCCGAGGAGAAATTGTGTAAAGAAGGTTGCGATGAAGTTTCCGAGGGCAGGAGCTGTAACACAGTTTCTCCTCAAAACAAGGCCGCAAGTAAGAGATGGTAGAAATGGGAGCGCGCAATAGCCGAATATAAATCCCGGAGCAATCCTAAGAGGTGATGAAGCGGCACAAAATGATCACTTCTCATTACAATTTATGGACTATTTTGGCAAAGTTTAGGCTAGTTATTTTTTCTGTTCAACGTGTTATCATATCTAACTCTCTGAAGTACGCGAATCTGTTTTCATCTTACATCACGTAAGCATTACATTTCGTAATAACAACAAATGTAGAGCGTAAACAAGAACTCAAGACACCAAATCAGGGGAAAAGAACGAACAATTTCATACTTTCCGTTTGAACATATAAACTAATAAAAGAATCGAGAAACAATGAAACAAGAATCCGACCTAGCAAGAGTC